CGGGCTCTGCTCTGAACGCTTTCCAAGTCTCTCATGGACGCCTGGCGTTCCGTGTCGCAGATGAGAATCCGAGACACAGGTGACGTGACGCCCAAGGTCACCGAGCGTGTATGAGGAGGGTCTTAGTTGGGAATCCCAGGGGGTCTGGCTGCAGAGCCCAGGTTTCCCCTGGACTTGGGGGGGGGGGGCACTGGGAGCTTGGCGGCTGGGTCCTCTAATGGGTTCAAATGTTATTATTATTTAAAGCAGCAGAACCCTTTGTTCACCTCGTCTCTGGGGTTGAACGGGGGTTGAGGGAAGGGCAGGAGCTCGGCCTTCTCAGCCTCCATCCTCCCTTTGAGACTCCCGCGAGGCAATTCGATGCCGCGGTTCTCAACCTGATTTTCATTGTTGCCCCACTGAGGAAGCTTTTTAAGCGTTGTTTTCCTAACTGCCCTCTTTATGAAATTTTAATCCCACAACCATACTTTATTTCTGTCTATGTGCTGCATGCTTTTCTATGCCTCAAACATAAAAAGAGTAAGTTTTTTAAAATATGTTTTTTATTTATTATAGAGAGAAAGGAAGGGAGAGATAGAGAGATAGAAACAGTGATGGAGAAACATCGATTGGCTGCCACCTGCACACCCCCTACTGGGAATCGAGTCCACAACCCCGGGCATGTGCCCTGATCGGGAATCCAACCAGTGACCTCCGAAACTCAACCACTGAGCCACACCAGCCGGGCAAGAGTAAGTTTTGTTTGTTTTTTATCCACCCCTCTCTCCCAGAACCAATTTTTGCATTTGGCGGTGATATCGCCCCATTCAGAACACATGCCCTGCAGGACCCCTGGGCACCACAGAGGCAGTTGGAGAAGAGACGGCCGTAACCTCGTTCTCAGCCCAGCCACACGCTGGAAACCCCTGGGGAGGTTTTAGAGCACACACAGACCCAGCCAGAGAGGTGAGTCACTTGGTCGGGGGGACCCAGGTACACATTAAAAATTAATACACTTTATTTTAGGGGGAGCAGTTCTAGGGTTATAGAAAGACGGCAGAAAGTGTAAGAGTTCCCACACACAACCTCCCCCCACTTTCCCCTATAGTTAACATCTTGCATTGGTGTTGTACATTTGTCATAACTGATGAACTGACCCTATGTAATAAAGAGGTAATATGCAAATTGACCCTCATGCCCTCACAAGATGGCTGCCTACGACCAGGCCAGCAGGGGGGGCAGTTGGGAGCGACCAGGTTGGCGGCGGGGGGAGGGTTAGGGGCAAGCAGGCCAGCAGGCAGAGACAATGAGGGACGATCAGGCCAGCGGGGGCGGGGGGCAATTAGGGGTGACCAGGCAGGCAGGTGAGTGATTAGGAGCCAGCAGGTCCCGGATTGAAGAGGTGCAGGCTGGGCTGAGGGGACCCCCCCACCCATGCTTGAATTTCGTGCATGGGCCTCTAGTATTAATATAAAATGTTACCTGAAGTCTATGGCTTACATTAGGGTTTACTCTGTCATACAGTTCTATGGGTTTTTCCAAACGCATGCTGTCGGCCCACCTTCCCTGTATCATAGAGAACAGATTCACTGCCCTGAAAGTCCCCCATGCTCTGCCTGTTCATCCCTCCCTTCTTCTTGACCCCCTGCCACCACCGGCCTTTTTACTGACTCTGGTTTTGTGTTTTCCCAGAGTAGCACATAGTTGGAATCACTCAGTATGTAGCCTCAGGGCCTTTGCACAGGCCGTTCCCTCTGCCTGAAATGCTCTTCCCTGCACATCTGCTTGGTTCACTCCCTCACCTCCTTTGGGTATTTTTCAAATCTTTTCTTTTTTAAAATATTTTATTGATTTTTTACAGAGAGGAAGGGAGAGGGATAGAGAGTTAGAAACATTGATGAGAGAGAAACATCGATCAGCTTTCTCCTGCACACCCCCTACTGGGGATGTGCCCGCAAGCAAGGTACATGCCCTTGACCAGAATCAAACCTGGGACCCTTTAGTCCGCAGGCCGACACTCTATCCACTGAGCCAAACCGGTTAGGGCTTGGGTATTTTTCAAATGCCATCTCCTCAGTGAGGCCTTTCCCAGCCATCCTATGTATTTGCACCCCCACTTCCCTGTAGCGTGCCCCATCCCCCTTCCTGGCTTTGCCATTCTAACAGACTACGTAATTTATTAAATATCTTTGCTTCTCATTGCCTGTCTTTTACTCATCCAACAGGAGAATGCAGATTCCGCATTCCGGGGGTGATTTTTGTCTGTTTTGTGGAGTGGCATATAGTAGGTGTTCAATTAAACACCTGTTGAAGGAATGCATGAACATATGAGGTGGGGATTAGCAACTCCATCCCCACTCTGCAGGGAGGAATGGAAGCTCCAAGAGATTGCACCACCCAGCTGGTTAATGAGGACATCAGGTCTTAAACCCAGGCAGTGTGACTCCAGAGCCGACCTGCATGCAAACATCTGGCCCCCATGCAAATTGTGGAGATCAGGACCCCTGAGTGTCCCCCAATCCCGTGGTCATCTTCTCCTGGCCTCAAGCTCTTCCATTCTCGGCCCTCAGCCTCCTGCAGGGTGAGTGGAGACCTGGATCAGACAGGGCATCTGAGTGTGAACTGACCTCATGGACTGCTCTGGGGACCTGGTGAGTAAGCGATGGGATGGTCTACACTCCCCAGTTCCCAACCCCCAGGAACCTGATGTGGTCACTTCCAGCCAGGGGGACCTCTCCTGCCTCCGACTGCTGTCCACAGTGTGTGGTCCCACCTCTTCAGGAGGCACTAACATGCTTGGGGTCCCTGGTGTCAGAACCTCCCCAGGCATGGGGACTGTGCCCTCTTCTCCTGCTGCCCCCCACACAGTAGGGGGTAGAATATTGCATAATGAAGGAAGGAAATGAACATCTCCTGAGGCCTACTGTGTGCCCCATGGGCAGTTTACTGAGGTGTTATCCCAGTTCCTCTTGGCGGTGTCCCTCAAGGTGGGCAGGCTGTGCCCATTTTATGGATGAGGACATTGAGGCTCAGAGCTGCCAGGCTTGTCTGAGTCTGCCTGGGAGTGCCACCTGCTCTGATGGGCCCAGATGGCAGGCGACGGGGCTGGGCCAGGTGGCTCTCAGGCTGGAGCAGTGCGTTACCCCTGGAACCCGGCCTCTGGCACAGGCTGGGCTCCATCTGTTTACTCTGGGGAACCATTTCCGACTGTGGATGGAGGAGGTTAAGCCAGAGAATACTAGGAAAAAACTCCTGACTGTGAGGGTCCAGATCCTGGAGTCTCCGTTTTGGGAGGGTTGCCATCTGCCTGCCAAGACGAGGAGCGGTAAGCTCGGAAACAGGCACTGCAAAGATGTCTGTGAGCGGTGGGAGGAGGTGGGGGCCTTCCGGCCTGGGCTGGGTGAGCTGCAGGTCTCTGTCAGTTGATAATTGATTTGATACTTGGTCAACACTGGAGAGAAGCATTCGTTCATTTGTTTGCTCCTTCAGTGAGTACTGAGCACTTGCTGTGAGTCAGGAGCTGTGCTTGGCCCTGGGGACAGAGCAGGGAAGGAAACAGACTCAAGGCCCTGCCCCCACGGGACTGACCTTCCGGCCGGGGAGGGAGCAGCAAGGGCTGGGAGGTACTTTCGATGGGCAATTAGGGGAGGCTACTTGGAGGAGGTGTCATTGCAGCAGTAACTCCAATGAAAAGAGGTGGTCAGGCCAAGTTTGGGAGACACCTCATGCCAGGTGACATCTCAGGGGCTCAGAGACAAGATAGACTTGCCCAGGTTGATCTGGCATCTTCAGGGTTTAGCTGCTCTGCAGTCTCTGGTGTGTCCCCGAGCTGGGAAGGAATGAAAATCTGAGTTCCCAGCAGCCCGTGCCATTTTCTGCCTCTAGAGACCCAGGCTCAGGCTAGTGTGGCCCTCCGTGGCGGGGACAGTGGGGTCAGTGTGGACCAGGCAGCCCTGGTGGGGCAGCCACTGAATGGCGGTCTAGACCTGGTGAACACCCGCTTTCTGGAGGCTCCAGGCAGGTGAGCAGGGAGCAGGTGTGCCAGCCGGGCGGGGGCACGGCTCCCTCCTAATTCTGTCAACTCTCCCTGTTCCCAGTGTGCTGAGGACACACTGTGTGCACGATTGATGGGGGTGCTCTGGCCTCGTGACTCTCAAGCCCTTTACAGTTTGTAACGTCTTCATTAATAATCATAATAATAGTTGAAACCAGCATCTTGCTGAACAAGCTGGTGTGGATGAGCCTCCGGGAGTCCTGGGTTCCGGCTCCTGGTCCCAGGTCCTTTCTGCTTTCTGCTCTTTATCAGCGTCAAAGCCCGGCTTCCATGTGCAGAGTGCCTACTGCGTGCTTGCCGCCATTCTAAGGGTTTTCTGTGCGTTGGTTCTTTGACTCCTCCTAACAGCCCAGTGAGACCAGGACAGGACAGTTCACATGAACTCCATCTTGAGGTCAGATCCCAGCTCTGCCACTTGCTGGCTGTGTGGCCTTGGGCAGAGCCCTCACTCTCTCTGTGCCCTCAGTCTCCTTGTCTGTGAAATGGGGATAATAATAGCACCAGTAACATGGGGTTGGTGGGCTTGAGTGAGTTCATATCAGTAATGTGCCCAGGATGGTGTGTGGAGAAGGAAGCTTTTGCTGCCATGGAGATGGTGGTGGTGATGGAAATCACCTTTGTTGTCATTATTCTGCATCACACGTGGGAATGTACGTGGCCTGCCCAGGTCACATAGCAAGTAGGCAGCAAACTAGGGACTCGGGCGTGGTACCTGGGCCCTTCCCCACGGTGTCCTCCCATCTCTGAGAAGGGGAATCGGCTGTGGTCCAGGCACTGGTCACTGTCACCCACCGTGAAGTTGCCTTGCCTGGCCCAGCCTCCGCTCCGTCCTGACTCACAGGGCACACAGGAGCCAGGTAGCCTCCTGGTTCAGATTCCCCAGCGATTCTCCCCCTGCCCCACCCCTCTGTGTGGGAGGAGGGACAGTGCCCGGCGGCCGAGGCCCGGTGACCGAGGCCCAGCGGCCGAGGGGCCAGGATGTCACCCCCTGAAGAGGGCCTGTCACTGTACCCACGACTGAGCCGGCCTGGTTCCCCTTCTCCCGACTTCACCTGAACCCCTTTCCTGGGCTGGGTGGTGGGAGATCTGTACGGAGCTAGTTCTTTGCTGATGCCTGGGGTACAGGTCTGTGTTGGGGACCCACGGAGGGCATTGCCACCTGGGCTGCCGACCTGGGCCCTGCCCCTGGGTCCTCACTGGCCAAAGGGGTGTCAGGGCAGTCAGCCTGTTGGACAGCTGCCACGTCGGGCTAGAGAACAGGGCATGCTGGGGCTGAAGAGAGGGGCCCAGCCTGTGAGGGTCCCGGGCCCCCACAACCCCCCCATGCCTCACAGCTGCTCCCCTTCCTGCCCCTCCTCACCATGTTCCTGGGGCTCTGGCAGAAGAGGAGACCCGCGCTTCTGCAGCCAGCCTGGCCCTCGGCATCCGCGGCCAGAAGCAGATGCTCGGGTGAGGGGTTCTTTGCAGCTCTGGACCCCCCGCCCCCCGAGGCGAGGAATGGGGGAGGGAGCCTTGTGCACCTGTGTGTTGATCCCTGACTCCCCACTGCACAGATGTAGAAAGCGGCTCAGAGAGGCAAAGCTAATAAAATAACCTTAATCTTTGGGATCAGGGTGTAAATGAGTTCTTAGTCCCCCAAACTCAAAGCATCCCAGGCCTCAAATCTGTATTAATAACTATGATAGCTCCTCAGTCTGCAGACCTACTAGGTGCGTGGCACAGTGCCTGGTGGTCTCACACATAGACGCAGCCAGGTGGGCCACCCGCTAGGCTCTGGCACTTGTACTGGGCCATGGAGGGAAATGAGCAAGCCAGCGGTTACTGGTTCAGGCCAGCGGTTCTCACCCAGGGCGAGTTGACATTTGGTAATGATTGGGAAGTTTCTGATTGTTATAGCTGGAGGGGTGCTGCTGGCTTCTTGTGGGGGGAGGGGGCAGAGATGCTGCTACACGGCCCCAGTGCACAGTGCTAATTCAGTCACAATGGATTATGTGGCCCAGGCCACAGTGGCACTGAGGGTGACACACCCTGGTGTGGAGGAGCCACCGGGATGGGTAGCACCCGGCGCTAGCAATAGTGGGCAGCCGTCAGCACCCGGCCTGGAGGTGAGGCAGGGCGCCGTGCGGACAGGGCTGCCGGCAGGGGCCCACAGGAGACATGCCACCCAGTACCCTTTCGCCCCATACTGAAGGGGAAACTGAGGCTCGAAGAGGGCAATTAAGGAACGGGCCCAACATGATAGAACTAGGCAGAGGCTGGGCTGGGATTCAAACACAAGTTAGGTTGCCTGATGCCAGACACCCGCCTAGTTCTGGCATCAGGCAAGAACTACTCTGCATGGCCCTCGGGACTCGGGGTGTATGCATGGCCCTTGGTTGGGCTGCTGTTGTGTTCCTGGGTCTCTGGTCTCTGTTGGGAGGTTGGCTTGGCCCTACTCAACCGGGAGCCCCATCAGGGGTCCTCCTGCCAGGCCTGTCCCATTCTCTCTTCCAGCAAAGACCTGCAGCCCTCCTAGGCCGTCGCCCCAGCAGAACCGCGCTCAGCCAAGGTAACTGTGCCCTGGCCGCCCTGAGCTCCTAACTGGTTCCAGATGCCCTGCCCGAGGCGGGCCAGGCCGTGTAGGCCAGGCCCCGCTGCGGAGTGTTAACACGGCCACATCTGTCTGTGGGCCTCCCGCGAGCCCCCCTGGGCCGCCCTCGGAAACCCCTGGCTCCAGCTTTCCCAAACATGCCCAGGTTTACATTCCTGGGCAGCCCCTGCAGCCCCAGCCAGGCCCACGGGACCCTCTGGAGCCGGAGGAGGCCTGCTGCCCGGAGCCTGGCGCCTGGCGCTGCCTCACTCGGCCTGGCACGCTCCCGGCGGCTGGATCAGATGACACAGGCCTTGAGCGAAGCCAGCACCACCTCCCAGGTGTTCCGCGTGCCTTCCCGTGGCCCGGGGTCTCTGCTTGTCATCCTGCCCTTGCCCAGGAACCCTCTTCCCACCTGGCCTCTGGACCCTCCAGGACATCCCTCAGTCATGCATTTCCCCTGCATGTGGCATCTGGGGGTCCTGGGAGTAGGTGGGAGGGCCCCAGAGGCCTGGCCAGGGTTCCCCCTCCCTCTGTGTTGCCATGGT